CAAAACAATTGTGCCATGTTTACTCCTTTTTGGCCAAGGTGCTTGCCAAACCAATTACTAATCTTCTAACCATCTAAACCTGGCTCCATTCTCCATCACTTCCCCCACCGCTTGTATGTGATTCCTATAAGTAAACCCTAGCAGATTCTAGGTTGAAGTAGAGAAGAAGAAAGAAAAGAGAAAGAAGAAGAAGAAGAAGAAGAAGAAGAAAGAAAAGGTTCGGCCAGACTAGAAGAGAGTAAAAATCACTCTCCCCTAGCTGACCCACTTGTATTTATTCAAAAACATAGAGTTACAAGAAAGACCATTTTGTCCCTCATAGAAGATGGGGCACATAACTTAAATTCAGATACAATAGACCTCTCACTCTCAAGCAGATAATCCAGAATGACCAAAATACCCCTGACTCAAGCATTCTAACAATTCCAAATCCCCATACTGTTCATTTGCATCAAGCCTATAATCCTATTACCATCTTAGAATCACCTACCACCTCAAGTTGCCTGAATCCCTATTGCTTTGCTAGCCTCTAGCCTTCTAAAAGGGCTAAAATTTCTGCCAATATCCCAACCTTCTCCACCTCTTGAATATTAGCATTGAAGATGGCACGATTGCACCCCATCCCCTTACAATGCCATCTGCTAAGAATTCCTTAAATGCTTCATCTGTTTTTATCTAATGTGCTAACTTGATGGTGATACAATCAACAACTACCGACTTTGTCTTACTAAGCTCTTGTACAAATCTATTATCTTTTTTTTTTTGAAGATAAAATAATAAATTCATGCATTCCATACTATAGCAGCTGTTGTAGTGCTCCACAACATCCTACCTCTCTTCCTTAGCTATCTAAAGAAGTTAGAACCAAAAAGGCTTGCCACATCAAAAGGAGGGTGTCTACCTGCAACCAAGGAAAGAAGAAAACCGTTGCCAAAAAATGAACAGGAGATTAATCACCAATTTGGCCTTCTCCCTTGAAGCATAAATGTTAATCCTATTAAGGATCACTTCTCAACAGATTACCCTTACTTTGGGAGGCACAGGTCTATTCCACACTTCTTTTGCTGGAAATGGCACTACTAAGCTGAAAGGTTGTAATAAGACATTTTAAAAACAAGTATAGGAAAACAGCCCCAAAGGAGAACCAGACCACTGCTGGCAATCCAAACAAGAAGGGTCCAAGAAAACTCCATTCAAGAGAAACAATAGATCAGCAGTAGCATCCATCTCCCCCTCCCTAAGCCCTCTCCTGAGTCCTACATCCTAATTTTCCCCATTATTCAACAAAGTAGAGATAGTTAATTTTTAGGTTGGTTTGCATCAATATTCTTGAGGTGTTTTCAGGACCAATTGGTGTAGGTGACTCGTTAAGGGAAGAAGTTCTGGCTGTGGTAGGAGTAAGAAGAGCAAGAGAAATGGAAATACCAAGGCTGGTTATAAAAGGCAATTCTAATGTTGCGGTAGGTTGGTTGATGAATAGTGAGGAAACATTATGGATATATAAGAATGAAATAAAAAGGATTAGGCGGCTGACAAGGGGTATAACAGTGAAAGTGCAATGGATCCAAAGATCAGCAGCATCAGCTAACAATATGGTTGATTCCTTAGCAAAAAAAAGGGGTGATGAGAGATCAATTGTTTTGGGCCATGTTATAATATGATATAATACATTATAATGGACAGAGAATAATGCTTCTGTAAAACAGATTGATCTTTACATATTTCCCTCATCTTAATGATTAATGTTAATTATCAAAAAAAAAAAACAAAACAAAACACTCCCTGGATATTAGAGCTACAAATGTTGCATTGACCTATTTATTGATTACCCCTGTCTCACAGAACTCCTCAAACACCTCCACCAATCATCTTTTACAATATCCCAACCTTTTGGAAGAAGCTCAAAGTAAAACTATCTAACCTAGGGGCTTTGCATTTTTTTAGTCTAAAAATAACCCATTTCACCTCATTTTCCTCAAAAGTTTTTTTCCAAAGTGTTGGCTAGCTCTTAATCTAACATGGGCCAACCTAGACGATCTTCACAAATTTTTCTAATGGAGGAGATACATCATAAAAATGTTCCATTCTTCGAAGTGCCCCACGAAGATCTTACCTATTTCCTCATGATTACTAATTTCCATGTCATTAATCACCAATTTAGGCACAAAATTTTTCCCCCTTCCATTTGCTAAAGAAAGGAAGAATTTGGGCTTATTTAGATTTCTTACTCAAATTCACTTCCATTTGCAAAAGAATCTCATTAATCACCAATCGAGATGTATTTAGTTTGTTAGAAAAGAACATGGATCCAACTGTCAGACTTTGTTTATATATGTATATAGACAAAGTAGTGGGACACACTGAAAACAGTTAAAACTTTCAAACAACCAAAAATCCAATGTAACTGAAAAAACCTTCTTTTTGCCATCCTTTTCTTTTCATGCATTGTTTTCTCTTCATTTTCTTCTTCTGTTTTCTGTCCAACCAAATGAAACCATAATGATCAATACAAACTATTATTTGGTTATTGAACAAAAAAATCAAAGATCATACGAACTATTAAGATCTATACCAATGCTCTTCGAATTGGGCTAGGTTCTTAAACAGTTTAAGGACAGCCACCATATTGATATTAGGACTAAAACGGAGGAGATTGTGAGATACTGATACCTTCTCTCCTCTTGTTAGCGAGGTGATGTGGGGCTGGGTTTATATATTCATGCTCCTTTAGCAAAGTTCTTTTTTTTTGGTAAGTAACAAGAAAAATTTATTAAACAAGAAAAACTGAGTACAACCCAAAGGCAGGGGTTAAGATAACACCCCCCAGACCCAACAACAGCTCCTACTACCCGCCTACAACAGTAAAACAGGAGAGAAAAACAGAATGAGAAGCCAATCGCAACACCAACAACACAAAATTACTAGACACAGGTCAATCTTCCACCTCACCAAACTCTTCTAGACCTCCATCCTCATCTCAAATTTCTCCCCCTAGCACTTCAGAAGCCTTTCTCAAATCTTCTTCCTTCCTCTTCTTTTCGGATGCTCCAAAAGCTCTTTGAGCAAAGTTTTCTCCTCCTAAGAAAACAGGCCCAGACTTACCAATTTCCACCTCTTTGTCAACTAGGGTCTTCAAGCCCACACTTCCTTTCTTCATAACCATTTCCTCCAACCTCACCTCAACAGAAGCCTCGACCACAGCAGATCCATCCCTATTTGCTTTCCCTAGCAAGTGAAAATTCCAAATGATAAACCAACAGAGGAATCAACTTTCCAGCCCCATCGGGTGAAAGTGAAGACTCCAAATGATGATTCTCAAGACTCTGGGTTCTGAGTTTTACCCCTCTTCTTTTATAGATCCTTTTATACGTGTTGGTCGAACCAGCTCCAACCAGACCATCTTTCAGCCTTGAGAAAACGTTTGTAACATGAACCACATTGAGCTTACTTGAAGATCTGGTCTTCTTTTAAGTTTCTGAAACATCTCCGCCTCCAACCAAACTAGTCTCTTTGCCCTTTCGGCCCAAATCAACTCCCAGTCTTCTAACCACCACTTCAGATACCAAATAATCGAAATTGATCCCAAGTAGAGCATCTTGATTTAAATTTTCTAAGTCAATTCACCTTCTCACCCTCACCATCTTTTAGGCTGCCTCCTTATCACCTCCCTCCTCCTGGTCCTTGGTCTCGACATTCACTCCTCCTCTTCCACCGCCTCTCCAAAATCTCCCCTTTCCCCTCTGCATGACTCTCCAACTCCCATTGTCTTCTTCCTCCAGACTCCTGGTTTCCCGCATAGAGGACACCCTTTTTTCTTCATCAAGAGAATCAAGTCCCTGACTTCGAAACRGCATAACCAATGAATCCTCCACAAGCCAGCATAGTGATATGCAACCTTCAATCACCAACTTCAAGTCATACCACTCCCCTGTGAAGTTTAACGCCAGGCTTAGAGGAACCAACTGTATGTCCTCAACTTTGACCAAGATTCTAGCCAAAACCAGATTCTTCAAACTGTATGTGCTGGCATCAATTCTTCTGAAGAAACTGCAGGCATTTCCCACAGCACAGAACGTATTCAAATTCCAGACATGAAGAATCTCGAAGACATTTAACCAAACAAGGCTCTTACACCCCACTTCTCTTATTACCCCAACTAGCAAATTCCATCTATCCAACCTCAGATCGGGTCTTTTGATCTTAACTGTTTATCTATCCAGGACTTCGTCTACCTCTTCTTTACTGCAGAAAATAAATAGAAAGAAACCTGCATTTAACTTTCTCACCTGAACTTCCTCTTTTAAGCTCCACTCTGTTCTGACACATCGCTGAACCTCTACAACATCAGGTTCAGAGATAACAAAACGACCTACCAAACATTTTTCAAACCATCTCACCCTCTCCAGAGCTCCTTCGTTCGATTCCATGAAGATCTTTTTTTTGATCAATAACAATTAACTTTTATTAATAAAGATTGAGATAATCAGAGTTACAAAGAGGGGAACTAAATATTCTTAACTCCCAACTACCCAAGGTACAATCTGACCATGAATCAAATACAATTACACTTACAAAACAGCCCAGAACATAGTATTCCTGTTTACCCCTTGCTTAGCTAGACCATCTGCCAATGCATTCAATTCCACGAAGATCTCTCTCCCCATTGTAGACTGTAAAATCACATTCTAGATTCTTTGAGCTACATGCACAACTCTTCCAATGATTTAACCTGTGTATTCTTAAAGCCTATGTTGTCAGAGATGTCATTCTGGTTATCTCTCAAAAACACTAAAAAACAGCAATGGCGTCTCTGACAGCATAGCTTCTTGTAACTCTTATTTTATATTTTTATTAATGAAATGACTAATTACTAAGAAACAATTGTAATTGCCAGAAAAGGATATCAACATTCAAGGAATCAAACTTTATAAGAAGTTGAAGTTAAACAAATAAAATTCTACAAATAGTCATGATAATCCAACCTCTACCCATGAACCCACCTGCTGATTAAAGCTATCCGTGAGAGATGAATTTTCAACAGCCAATGACTCAGCTAAAGCCCGTGATGCCTCAAGAGCTCTCTGCAAAGAGAACTTTTCTTGTGTCAAATCTTCAATATGCTGCAAGAAAAGAGAATTAACATGAGAAAGTGACATGAAGAGAGATACCTTCCCCAAGACATTTTCAATCAATAATGAGAGAAGTCTATTAAGAAAAATAAGTAATGGCTTTTATCTGAAAGGTAAATGTAAAGAAGAAAAGATTATTATTGTCAAGACAAATAGATGAAAGCTTGACTTTTCAAAAAGCAATCTACCAAGAGGCAAAACATATACAGTACACTCATAGATAATACGATCAGAAATTACTCTCCAGTCCCCCTAAGGACCCAAATATAGCCACTCGCTTCTTTCCTCTAAAATCCATTCAAGAAAAGACTCTAAAGCATTAAAAGTGCAAAATAAAACAAAGTTCACCCATGTTACATGGACACTTCAAACGGGTGATACTCCCGTGTTCAGGCATGTAGACAATGGACACTAACACAAGACTCTTCTCTGTTGTTGAATTCATAATATGTAGCTAAAGAACCTGGTTTACCTGGAAAAAAAAAAAAAAACTAAATAACTTCTAACTCTTAAGATAAAATTTGGGTATGAATTGTCTATTTAGTATTAATCAATCATATGTTATTTTAATTGTTGCGTTGTTTGCACTGATCTATAGTTCTATACGCTTTTTTATCAATAACATTAGATTTGACTAAGAACAAATAATTATACAAGGGGGGAGATAAACATTCTTAACTCCCCCGTCAACAAACAAACAAAGGTGATGCATTACATATAAGCCCAAAACAGAGTACCCCTGTTTACCCCTTGTTTTGCTAACCCATCAGCAAAGGTATTTGCACACCTCTTGACCCAATTTTATCTCCCTTCAGCCAGTCCACTACCAGCTTGGAGTCTTTTTTGGAAAAGGTAAGGTAAATTTATCCAAATAGAAATGAGAACATACAACAAAACCCAGGCCAAGAAAGCAGCCTGAGAACAACACAAGTTACAGACTCCAGCAAGACTGAGACAGAAACAAGAGAGACAAATTCAGGTATCTGAACTCCTCAGTAATAGACACCCAAGAAATCAGCTTGCCCATAGCTCTCTGCACTAGCTCTTCAGGACTTTTAACTCTATTACAAAAAAGTCTGTTGTTCCTTTCAGTCCAAATGGACCACAAGACTGCTGCAGGAATGGTCCTCCACACTAATTTTCCTTTCTTGCTTAGGCCTTTAACTTTCCAACAGCACAGCAGCTCCTTGACCGACCTAGGCATTGGAGTCTCCTTCAATGATCAGCTTTCTTAAATTTAACTCTCTATCTCTCTGAACACCTTCCAATGCCACCCAGACTTCAGCTCTGAGAGAGTCATCAGCAAAGGTGTTATTCACCAATAAATACTAAATTATTTATATAATAATACGAAAAGGGCCTATACCCAATGTTGATCCTGGCTATCGAAGGCCTTTCAAGGGATGGACTGGATAAGGACCTAACCTTTTGGAAGTTTTTGTGGAAAGCAGCAAGTATTTAACTCACCCACATTCCTTTTTTATTGGAAACAGTAACTTTCATTCAATTAAATAAAAAGTACATCTGTCAACCACCCAAAAAGAGGGTGCTGATAGCTTAAGGTATCTCAGAATTACAATGAGGCCCAAAACAGTCCCCCCCCCAGTAACCCCCTGCTTTGCTAGATTGTGGGCCAACCCATTTGCTGTTCTTCTTGTCTACCCAACGTGTACCCAATTTCCCTAGTTAGGCTCCTTACTTCCCTTACAAACTAAGGATCCAGATCCCCAAGCTGTTTGTTTGCATCCACCCTATTACCAACTTGGAGTCTCCTTCTACCTCAATATGTTGTAAATCCAACTGTTAAGCCAGTCTCAACTCTCAAGACTTGGAGTAGGGCCATCACTTTATCTCTAATTGAATCACCCATTCCTATGGGTCCTGAATAAATAGCCAAAATTTTTCCTTCTCCATCTCTTAAAACACCCTTAACACCTGAAGGACCTAGATTACCTAAGGAACTTCCATCAAAATTCAATTTCACCCTTTGCTGTACTGAAGGGGTCCAACTCGCTTAAAAGGTAGATTCTGAGGATGAAAAAACCGACCTGAGATTTAAACATTACACCAAGCAATAGCCCCTTATATAATATAAAAACATATTATTAAAAATAAAACTTAGTTAATATATACACACCAAGTCTTCAAATCCTATTTTTTCAGGCTCGCTGAGTCCAACGCCTTGTACTCATGTAAGATTCTGATTGCCCTACCCATATCCATGTAACATATAAGTTCAGCCAAGATTGTAATAAACACAAATTCAAAATACAAGTTCAGGATACAGGAAGAAAATCCCTTTAGAAATGTTATGAAAAGGGTTTAGCCCTAAACAGAGCATCTAACAGTTATATCTAGAGGTGCTGGCCATGTCGAGGTGAAAAAAAATCATAAAAAGAGATGTGAAAGATACATAAATGACAGACCCTGTTGCTGTGTAAGTTGTAACTGTTGCGCAAAAAGGCAAGCAACCTAAATAGATATTTGAGGATGTCAGACAAGCTTCTTCTGAAAGTGAAAGAAAAATTCTTCTTCAGAATTCTGACCCAATTGTTTAAGAGATCTTTTTAAATGGGGTAAATTAAGAGATGTCCTTGCAATTTAAGCATGCCTTCCCCTAGATGAACCTGCTTTTTTTTCTTGGTATTGCAGCCTTTTGTTGAGGATTGTCCCCGATTGTGTCTAACTCCTATGCTTTATGTCTTACCTCCTTTCGTTCTAGTAATTTCTTGTCTTTTTCCCAAAAAACAGCAATCTCACCTAGAGTATTTGCCCATAACCTCATAGCTCTAAAGGCACATAAGCCAAGCTAATATGACCAATTTATAGGTTTTGTTCTTGATTACTTAAAAGCTCTTTTGTAGTAATAATAGTCACATATAGAACAACAGAAAGCTGAAAAATCGAAACAAACCATTCAAATCACAACTTTATGATTGTTTTTAATAAAAAAAAGTAATTCACTATATTAATTTAAAGAGAAATAACTGATACAAGTATTCTTGTAGAGGCACGATCTGAGTACTCTCCAAGGCCACAACTCTATGATTGTTCATATGATTAGTTAGCTTCTTGAGAAGTATAACGTGAAAAAGAATTGCAAGGAGCAGCATATCAAACCATTAAAATCCGGTTAGATTCATTAAAAGCATATCGTGAAGAACCACAGGAAGTAGCTTATCAAACCATTTAAATGTGTTAGAACTTAGAAATCATTTTCATTTTCAAAAACTAAGCAATGATGCTGCATTACTAACAAACATAATGTGAATAAGAGCATTATGAAGTGGGGACAAAATTGAAAGAGAAATAAGATGAACCTGTTCTAAAGCAGCAAAATCTTCATCCTGCTTCGACGAAGAAAACTCATGCTTTCTCTCTATACTATTTTCCTTGTAATTCTGTCTCAGCACTTCACTTTCATTACTAACAGAAATTGAATTCATGGAAGGTGCATTGCTGCTGGGCAAATCTGGTAATCTCAAGCTAGAGAAAGGCCCCAAAGTTTCAGCCTCTGGAAATGGCTGCTGAGCCGACGATGCTAGGATATCCGCACTCGGAATTTTTGAACTTTTAGACATGAATGACTTATCATTTTCTGAATCAGTAAATGGCAAATGAGAAACTGAAGATGCCCTAGGTACATTAATAGAGTCCAAGAAAGAAGGACGCGATCGACGAGTGCTTGTTTCATATGTGTTTGAATATAGAGGCAAATGATCAGAGGAATTTTTTAGACCTAAGCCAAAACCTGTAGACAGAGATTCTGCCTTCAGCCAAGGTGCACTTTCTGCAGTAGAGTGACGACTGATAAAGCTACTAAGCTTGCTCCCAGACATATCAACACTCACAGAACCATTTGAATCCTCACTACCATGTTTATATAATCCACCTTCAGAAACTGGCTCCTTAAGGTTGGTGCTCATATGAATAGAATCTAGCAAACAATCCACAACCAATGCAAATGAAAAGAATTGGATCCTTTTTTAATATATTCAAAATAGAGAGAAAAGGCTGTCTAATAGTGTGTACAAAATGAACAAAAAGGAAAAATAGCCAATCAAAAAAAAAACATATAATATTACCTTCATATAGGTTAGGTGTGTTCCCACTGGTTAGTGAGCTGGCAAAACTCATCTCACTTTTCACTGGAATACTAACTGACTTGTCAACCAAGGGTATACTTGGATCTCTGATTGCATATCCCTTGGAAGATGTCTCATTTTCTTTCAATTGAGCTTCATCAAAGGAATGATAATTAAATTGGCGAGCACTCCTATCAATGTCTTGGATACCATGTACCTGATGAACAGTAGTATATTGTTCTCTTACATCCCCAAATGTTGGCCCCTGGTTACTAGTGTAAGCACCATGGTTGCCACTCTTATCTTCCTTGAAGTGACGTCCAGCACTGCCTAAACCACTAGAATGTTCAAACCCTTGATCATTTGCAGGTTTCTGAAGTGGATCAGAAAAAGTTGCACCATAATTATTGGCTAAACCAGGAGGTTTAACATATGCCCCATTAGAGAGATCCAGGACAGCAGTACCAAAAGAACTGCTTTCTTTACTATTACTGTTTTCAACTGGACCAAAAGATCCAACGCTAGCAACAATTTCTTTTTCAGATGTGCCAGCTCCATCTGTATCAACAAGTCGCATATAATCACTTTCTTTTGGTTGTTTCTCATTTTGACTACCATCATTGGAGTGTAGTTGACCAGTCGATGCAGCCTTTCTAGCTCTATTTTTGCGAAACTCCTCAAGCTGAAAAAAATAGAAGAAATGTTTAATTCGAAATAAAATGAAACAAACTCCAGCCACTATTCCCTAGGAGCAAAGCAGTTAACCAAGAGAATGCTACGAATGCACTTACAGTGGCTTCATACGTGAAAATACAAACACAAGTTAAACAATACAGATGTGGCAGGATATTAGTTGAGAAATGATGATGTGGCAGAACATTATGGAGCTGAGAGAAGAAAACTAAATTCAGTGTTCATCTTTCCAAGCTTCTCGCCTATATGCCTTGTTTACTTTTTTTTTAACAATCTTTCGCTTTAGTATCCAAAAAAAAATGTTTCTAGAAAATGATAATAACAATAAAAAATGGAAATCATTGACACCTACCAATGCAAAAGTATACAAAAATACAAGGGAAGGAAACCTTTGTACCAAGGCTCCAAGCTTTAATGTAGATCCACTGGAAAGAGAAGGAATGCAATATAATGAAAAGGAAAGAAAGAAATGACATGTAGAACCTTGCTACCCAATCCCAACCCGACAAACAGGTCTGATCAACCAAAAGAAAGACAGGAGAGTCAAATTTCTCTGAAGGTTACAAATAATTCTCGAACTTTCATTGATTAAAAAGCAAGAAAAATTATGGAAATTTAACTAAGATCCTATGTAACCTCGTTAAAAAATCAGGAAACCCCATTAAACAGAATGCAGACCCATTAAGCTTGAAAACAACA